CTGTTGTGCTTTCGAATAAATGTGGGACAGCAAAACTTCAGTCATACTAAACATTCACTTCTTGTAGATGTCGTTCTCATTCCAGCGAAACGTGGTCAATATTCCTGATCACCTTTGAGAATTTGCTCGCCTTTGTGGTTTATTTGAAGGGTTGTTTACTCACGCAACTGAATCAGTGGTTGATACTCGAGTAAGGCTGCATGCGAAGCGAGGATTACATTTACAGCTGTACTCCATGTAATTACAGCTGTGCCTGTTGCACTCAAATGTCACGAAATTTGTTTGTTTGCACCTGCCTGCTTGACTCAGTTCGTGAAGAGGTTCTACTCGCTCACACCTAAACACTTAGGGTGGAGTAAATAAGCTTGCTGGGCCAGATGAGGCTTTCTGATGAAGGACAGCAAATTTGAATGTCTGGTGAGGACAACAAATTTGAATGTTTTCGTTGCCATTCTTCACTCTCAGTACTACTCTTAAGCAGGCCATGTGTTTGAATTGAAACTGAATGAAAAAAAAAACTAGTTGAGCTGTTGGTACACTGGAAACCATGCGATAATGTGGTGCACGGTTTTGAGAAAGGTTTTGTTCCTTGTTTTTTGTTCTTAGTTTCCCATTTCGAGTGATTGCTTAGACTTTAGCTGGTTTTGGCACTTCTTCATAGTTAATTTGGCAATGTTACAGTGCACATAAGTCAGGGGACTTACTTCCTGCCTAAATGCTATACCCTATTCCTAATTTTTGGGCAGAAGAGCGATTTAGATAGTGAGGCAGCGTTTTATACAAGCACCTTTTTCAGGTACCCAAATTTTAGAAACTTAAAAAATAATGAATTGCGAACATTTTTGGTCGCGCTGCTTTAAACGAGAAGGATAACAACATTTTTTCATAAGAGGCGCAGGATACACTGGTTGATCTCCTGTGCTACATTCTAATACTATTTTCCTCACTAGCATGCCGACGTAGATAGGGATAGGATCTCAGTGTGATTGTAGTATAAAAATCATGTTTTTAGTGGTTCCGAATATTAGTCTTTTTTTATCAAATAAGTAGCTGTGGGCCACGACTGCTGGTTGTACAAAGTTTTTAGGGATACTATCCACCTTCGGCTGTGAATGCTCATGATAAGTAAAAAATATTAATATTTCGTTTTGATCGCCTTGTATAATAATTATAGAATTCATACCGCACTTGATATTTGAAAGCATTCAGGAATGCTTGTAAGCAGTCAATTTGATCCAGCCGCTATACTCCAAAATTAGAGAATATGATTTTTCACCCTAAAAACTGAACTCCAAAAGCAGGAAGCAGGTTAATGATAGGAATTGAGTGAGAAAACGTAAAGGATGAATGACGTGGAGAACATGTGTCAGCAATCATTACGCAAATGATTATTCATCCTACAACCTTAGCGGTGAAAATTCGTTCAAACTCCTAATATTGGTATATACCAAATGCCATAGTAATAAGGGCAGTAACAATATTATGTTATTATTTTGAGTGCGCTAATCAATCAATTGAATGAAACGCCCTCCTTCAAAGACACGTCCAAGCAGAAATCATGTGAACGATCTTGAATTGTAAATCATGACTCCCGTAGGTCCGTATAATGGATTCCCAGAGAGCAATCCCACTCTGTGCGGAAATCGCTTGGCAAGGGTGCTAAGGCCTTGTAGAGTTGGCTGTAGCAGCTGCAATAATTCCTGTTCGTTGAAGGCTGTTGTTTGGCGCCCTCTCTTCTGTTGCGCTCCCTCGCCTTATGCTTTTCTCTTCGTGCTCAGTCTCTCATTGCCTTAGCATAGCACTCAGATTCTTTTCCTTTTTTCTTTACTACCCATCTGCCTCTACGGTTGATAGGAGCAAGAAAAGCTCCAGTCTTCGTTTGCAAATTTTATTTTCGTACTTTCTTGCAGAGTGCTTTGTGAGTAGTGCAGTGCGGGGTCCGAATAACCTATGTGCTCCTCCTTTGTTCTTATTCCACATCTCCTTCTTGTGTAAACGTCCACCTTCACCTTTGCCTT